TATATATATATATATATATATGTGTGTGTGTGTGTGTGTGTGTGTGTGTGTATAATCATGTATTATATTATATTTATAGATAAACAGACAAACTGAATGCACATATATAAATATATAAACCGATTTATATTTTTTTAATCATCATATATTATATATAGTATTTATATTATATATATACATTTATATTATAAGTGCTGTCAATCGATTGAAAAAAAATTAACTAATTAATCACATATTTTTCTGAAATTAATCTAGATTAATCATGATTAATCCCACCTGACATTAAAGCTATTAAATATACTTTTTTATTTCTATAATTTTACATTCAATCTTCAAATTAAATGTAGAAAAAAGATAAAGACCATATTTTTAAAAAGATGTTTAATAGCATCTTTGTTTTTTATGACTGAAGGTGAGTGTCGCTGGTACCAATACTACTGTTGTCTCTATGAAATTGTTCTTTTTTCCCTAATATTTAACCATTATATGTTATGCTGACTTTAACATTACAGTAGAATTGAAAGCTATCAATTTTAACATTTATTAGACTAAAAAATAACAAACAAAATAACAACTTCTAATTTAAGTGAACTTAAAATAATCTTCACATAAACCCATTATAATAAATGTCATTCCTGTGCCCCTCAGCAAGTAGGAAATATAGAAGCAGCAGTTGTGAGTGGGTTGTAAGCCAACCCTAGCTCCGCCCCTGCGTTAAATATTTTTAACGCCGTTAAACTAGAAAAATTAATCGCCTGCATTAACAGGCTAATTTTGGCAGCACTATATATATATATATATATATCCTTTTCTATATAGTTTGTAATGTTTACATATTTTAGTAATATATATATATGTAATATTTAAGATTATAATTTTTTTGGTTTTATATATTTAGATTAGAAGAACTAAATGCATTAACAGGTTTAACAAAGCAAACTTAAAATCTCTCCATTTACCCATCAAACCTTGCTAACTACCCCTTAAGAATCACTGTGGTAGAGGATGTCAACTACTGACTTTAGTTTCTAAATTCACATTTACACTAACAGCTCAAAATGAACTAGTATTTGAGGATGTGTCATGTAGATGGAGGGGTGATTCTGGTGAGCATCTAGTTTTAGTCCAGTGGCCATCAGCTATTTACTTCTGAATAGCATTCCCAAAAAAGTCCAGTGTGTACATATGCGCACAGGAATAGCATGGAGCTATAATTAACAAACGCCACGTCTGAGACTTCAAATGGCTGTCAGGCCTCCAGAAGCCCATGGTCATGTTGATTACACACAGTCTGCTCTGGGGTTTCCACAGTTTGTATTGTTGGCCGTATGGAAACGGCCTGCAGGAAAACCACGGTACAGAAACTGCCACTATGCAATCACATCTAGAATTACAGTTATAAAAGTACAGTATAAACCTCTTCTGGGACTCGTCTAGTTAATACGGCATTCATAGCATTCTGCAAATGTTTAAAATGGCCCACGATTATGCAGATTTACAGTTTGTAAAGAGTCTTTGACACCACTGCTCTTCAGTGCATCTCATGCAAACAGTCTGGTAAACTCAGGCTGTGTTTTGAAAGGTCAAGCGGCGTCAAAGTTCAAATCGTTTCAAGTAAAATGTCACATTATAAAGTGTTGCTGACTGTATCGCTGTAGCTTAATGCTTCATTGTATAAAGTTCAGTGCACTAGGACCAGTGTTATTTTAGTATAACTGAGAGACCACTATAGTTTTTAATCAATATTTTGAATTAGTTTTTATTTTTATATTTTTGATTTTATATTTATATTTTTTTGTAGTTATTTTTATTTTATATTTACATTTTATATATTTTTTCCATTTTATTGTCATTTTAGTTCAAATTTGAGTAATTTTATTGTGTTTTTGTTATTTTAATTATTGTTTTTAATATCAATAGTTTTTGTTTCAGTTTTAATATTTTAGTACATCAACTTAAACTAAATGAAAATAAGAAATGTTGCCAACTGGCTCAAATAAAATGAGTAAAAATTAATTATATATATATATATATATATATATAATTATAATTTTAAATTTTTAATTTACACATACACACACAAACATACATACATATATTTCTTATTTATTTTTTTACTTTATTTCAGTATTATTTTATTTCATGTATTGTACTTTCTATAGTTTTAGATTTATTTTCATAACCCTGATTAGGAGTTATGAATAGAATTTTGCTATTAAATCGGCTGCCTTCTGCATCGTGTATAATGACAAACATTGCAGCTCACTCACCCGTTTGTCAATGTCATTATGCTGCAGCTGGACAAATCTGGCGCTGATGGCAGCGATGTAGCTCTGCTGATTGGAGAAGGCCACTCGGCCCGCACCTTTAGGGTATTTGAGTTCTGGGTCAGTGTCAATGCCGGCGTAACACACACCTCCATACAGTCTGTCCATGATCATAGCCAGCTCCACTAAACACACACAGAGCAGAAACACGCCATTATACAGAATATGATGGTAATGCACAAGATTACAATAAATGACATTTAAAATTTGGGAGGACAAGAGAAATTCACCTGCACGTAGAGGTCGTGGAACGCCTCCCACAAAAATGGTCTTGCGTGGGTCGAGAGGCTGAGAGCCATCCATCACGAAATCACTGTCACTCAGGTTCCACGGGCGAATCTGGACCTGAGAACGAGAAACTGTTCATCTCTAGCAGAAATTCAATGCAACAGGTATGTTTTAAGACCTAGTAGGGCCAAACTAGTTTTCTGTGAGAAAGTGATTTTGTGCATCTCAAATCTACCCTGTAAATTATATTAGCTTATTACACTAATTATTATTTAAATATATATA